TTAGTTTTGATGATGTCTGACATTAGTCTTGATGATGTCTGACATTAGTCTTGATGTTGTCTGATGTTAGTTTTGATGATGTCTGACGTTAGTCTCGATGATGTCTGACATTAGTCTCGATGATGTCTGACATTAGTCTTGATGTTGTCTGACATTAGTTTTGATGATGTCTGATGTTAGTCTTGATGTTGTCTGATGTTAGTCTCAATGTATCTATCTTTCATGTATTCAGTTATGTATCTATCTAATGGATATTTAAGCTTTATTTTGTCATGACAATCATACAACAATTTGTAAGACTCGTAAGAATATAATCAAAGTATTCAACTGCAAATAGGGAATGAGATAAGGTAGATACGTGAGGACAAATAGGGAATGAGATAAGGTAGATACGTGAGGACAAATGGGGAATGAGATAAGGTAGATACGTGTGGACAAATAGGAAAGGAGATTAGGTAGATACGTGAGGACAAATAGGAAAGGAGATAAGGTAGATACGTGAGGACAAATGGGGAATGAGATTAGGTAGATACGTGTGGACAAATAGGAAAGGAGATTAGGTAGATACGTGAGGACAAATAGGAAAGGAGATAAGGTAGATACGTGAGGACAAATAGGAAAGGAGATTAGGTAGATACGTGAGGACAAATAGGAAAGGAGATTAGGTAGATACGTGAGGACAAATAGGAAAGGAGATAAGGTAGATACGTGAGGACAAATGGGGAATGAGATAAGGTAGATACGTGAGGACAAATGGGGAATGAGATAAGGTAGATACGTGAGGACAAAATAGGAAAGGAGATAAGGTAGATACGTGAGGACAAATGGGGAATGAGATAAGATAGATATGTGAGGACAAATAGGGAATGAGATAAGGTAGATACGTGAGGACAAAAATGAAACTGATCCATTCTTGGTACACTTTGTCTGGGAACTCCTATTTATGATCTTGTTAAATCTAACTGTGACTGTTTCTACTCATTACATATGGACAATGTTACTTGTGCAGGACAACAATTAAAATATCTAGCCTTAACCTTGAAATAAGGGCCCATTAATAATAACCTCATTTAGACTTTGATTGCAAGTTAGACATAGCCGCCTCAAAAACTTAATGTTATGTCAGCCGAGGTGACAGCTTCAGTATTTGCCAAACAAAATATATCTATGACCAGTGTTAGAGGGGTGCTAAAGGTGAGGTCCTATAGTATTGGAAAGTGTGGGTGTTTGTGGTTAAACTCTGCACTTGACCAGCGAAGATCCGGGGTAGAATAGGTCTTCAGCAACCCATGCTTGCCGTAAAAGGCGACAATGCGTGTCATAAGAAGCGACTAACGGGATCGGGCAGTCAGGCTTGCTGACTTGGTTGATGCATGTCATCGTATCCCAATTGCGGGCATCGATGCTCATGATATCAATCACTGGTTTGTCACTCTTTGGTGTATGTTATAAATGGATTTGGTTCATGCTGTGGTATATGTTACAAATGGATTTAGTTCACTCTTTGGTGTATACTTTATAACTGGTTTAATTCACTCTTTGGTGTATGTTATAAATGGTTTAATTCACTCTTTGGTGTATGTTATAAATGGTTTAATTCACTCTTTGGTGTATGTTATAAATGGTTTAATTCACTCTTTGGTGTATGTTATAAATGGTTTAATTCACTCTTTGGTGTATGTTATAAATGGTTTAATTCACTCTTTGGTGTATGTTATAAATAGTTTAATTCACTCTTTGGTGTATGTTATAAATGGATTTGGTTCACTCTTTGGTGTATATTATTAATGATTAAGGTTTACACTTTGGTATATGATATAAATGGTTGAGGTTCACCCTTAGGTATATGATATAAATGGTTGAGGTTCACCCTTAGGTATATGATATAAATGGTTGAGGTTCACCCTTAGGTATATGATATAAATGGTTGAGGTTCACCCTTAGGTATATGATATAAATGGTTGAGGTTCACCCTTAGGTATATGTTATAAATGGTTGAGGTTCACCCTTAGGTATGTGTTATGAATGGTTGAGGTTCACCCTTAGGTATGTGTTATAAATGGTTGAGGTTCACCCTTAGGTATATGATATAAATGGTTGAGGTTCACCCTTAGGTATGAGTTATGAATGGTTGAGGTTCACCCTTAGGTATATGATATAAATGGTTGAGGTTCACCCTTAGGTATGAGTTATGAATGGTTGAGGTTCACCCTTAGGTATGAGTTATGAATGGTTGAGGTTCACCCTTAGGTATGTGTTATGAATGGTTGAGGTTCACCCTCAGGAATGTGTTATGAATGGTTGAGGTTCACCCTTAGGTATGAGTTATAAATGGTTGAGGTTCACCCTTTGGTATGTGTTATGAATGGTTGAGGTTCACCCTTTGGTATGTGTTATGAATGGTTGAGGTTCACCCTTTGGTATGTGTTATGAATGGTTGATGTTCACCCTTTGGTATGAGTTATGAATGGTTGAGGTTCACCCTTTGGTATGAGTTATGAATGGTTGAGGTTCACCCTTAGGTATGAGTTATGAATGGTTGAGGTTCACCCTTAGGTATGAGTTATAAATGGTTGAGGTTCACCCTTTGGTATGTGTTATGAATGGTTGAGGTTCACTCTTTGGTATGAGTTATAAATGGTTGAGGTTCACCCTTTGGTATGAGTTATGAATGGTTGAGGTTCACCCTTTGGTATGAGTTATGAATGTTTATGAAATTAAGACTACATACAACCCAGAAGTTATTGGACACGTGGTAAGTTTGATGGAGATCAAACAGGTTCACAAATTGTGAATTTGGGGAGAGTGAATTGTTGATATTCTTGGAATTTGCTAAAAGTGGTGTAAAACCATACTCACTCATTCACGCTATGACATTGTGGTGAAAATAAAAATTAAAAAACGTTTGATACTGACAATATAAAACAGTCAGCCATTTTGGAATTTTAACATGTTTATGAAGTCATGGGGTTACTTTTCATCGGTTTTTGACCTACTTTGAAGTTTTCATTACTCCTCATGCAATTTTCATTATTTTAGTTGTTTTCCTCATTCTTGAACATTTGGGTCGGCAGATCTATACACGGTGCCCAAACTAAGTATGAAAGTCAGTGGGTCCATCTCACAGTGTCCAAACTAAACATGAAAGTCAATGAGTCCATCTCACAGTGCCCAAACTAAACATGAAAGTCAATGGGGCCATCTCACAGTGTCCAAACTAAACATGAAAGTCAGTGGGTCCATCTCACAGTGTCCAAACTAAACATGAAAGTCAATGGGTCCATCTCACAGTGTCCAAACTAAACATTAGTCAGTGGGTCCATCTCACACTGTCCAAACTAAGTATGAAAGTCAGTGGGTCCATCTCACACTGTCCAAACTAAACATGAAAGTCAGTGGGTCCATCTCACAGTGTCCAAACTAAACATGAAAGTCAATGAGTCCATCTCACACTGTCCAAACTAAACATGAAAGTCAATGGGGCCATCTCACAGTGTCCAAACTAAACATGAAAGTCAGTGGGTCCATCTCACACTGTCCAAACTAAACATGAAAGTCAGTGGGTCCATCTCACACTGTCCAAACTAAACATGAAAGTCAGTGGGTCCATCTCACACTGTCCAAACTAAACATGAAAGTCAATGGGTCCATCTCACACTGTCCAAACTAAACATGAAAGTCAGTGGGTCCATCTCACAGTGTCCAAACTAAACATGAAAGTCAATGGGGCCATCTCTCAGTGTCCAAGCTAAGTATGAAAGTCAATGGGTCCATCTCACAGTGTCCAAACTAAGCATGAAAGTCAGTGGGTCCATCTCACGGTGCCCATACTTTGTGTAGGAAGTGATGTCACGAGCTCTCTAATCACTATCTTGTCACAGAGTTTCTTCCACTCATCACCATGACATCAACATCCAATCTAACTGACTCTTGTGAACACGAGATCAGCGTTGATCGACATTCAAACTTGTGACCTGGCCATCTTTGACTTCAGCCACTAGTCCGAACCCAAAGTCAAGTAAAATTCTGTTTGGTGTTTTAAGCTCAGCTAAATAAACTCCCTATGATAACACTGAAATGTACAAATAGAGCCATGTTTGGGTAGCAGATTAAAACAAACTATGAATACACTATTGAAATAAAAATTAATGCGTATGTTACAACTTTTAGTTAAAATGATTGTGTATCAGCTGATCGCCAAATTCACTTACCGACAGTTACATTCGGAAAAGCTTCTGCGACAAACATACTGATAGATGCCACATTGAAAAGAACATGGTGCCTAGTCAATGTACATGTATCTTTATTAGTCCCTGATTGGTAATTAAAACAATAGCGCCTTTCTCACAATGCTAGGTTTTGTAAACAAAAAACGGCCTCCCCAGAGAAGGAGCCTCAAGCAGACACAGACGGGTATACCACTATTCACATAGTTTTAAATGATTTACAGGGATTGTTTCAAAACAGGTTTTAAGTTAAATACCCAAATTTTAAGAAACAGGTGGGTAAAAAAAATGAATACCTTCTAAAACTTGTGGATACCAATCAAAATCAAACCTCAGGGTAAAATACCCCAATAACCAAAAGTTTATCTATAGCTCTGTTATTAACATGCCAAATGCCTTTACTGCCAAGGAGCGAGCATCTGGGGCCTCAAGATGGCTGCATATTTATTGACTGAGTATACTTTATATGGCACCAGCGTCTTGATTTGTTCTATTTATGAACTTCAATTCATACATTCATGATTCAGATTGCTTCAGTTCAAAATTTAGAATTATGCAATATTTCATGATATGTATCGCAAAACAGCCTTGTGCATCGCAAAATACACTTTAAACCTCCAGCACCCATCAGGGGCACTCCTGCAGTCGCAATAGGGAAATAATAATCGCCCCTAGTGGTGAGGCATGATGGGTATACATCACGATGAAATGGAGATTTTATATACTGGATAATTGAGACTGTTTCCATGATTACCTGATGGCAATTTCTTTCAGAAACTCTGGTGATGAGGTGAAGTGTGACATAATGAGTGAGGGCCAGAAGATCCAGGCAGAAGGGTATGGGGACATGGTAATACAGAAACTTCACACACTTCGACAAAACAAGGAACTCTGTGACTTCAGGGTCTCCGCTGATGGCCGTGTCTTTGAGGTGAGTTGAAGTGGAGCAGTTTTACAAGTAGATGCTTGAAAAGGCCTTGTAAATGTATAATTGATTCTTTATAAGGCCTTGTAAATGTATAATTGATGTTTGAAAAGGCCTTATAAATGTATAATTGATGCTTAAAAAGGCCTTGTAAATGTATAATTGATGTTCAAAAAGGCCTTGTTAATGTATAATTTATACTTTATAAGGCCATGTAAATGTATAATTGATGCTTTATAAGGCCTTGTAAATGTATAGCTGATACTTGATAGGGCCTTGTAAACGTATAATTGATGCTTAAAAAGGCCTTGTAAATGTATTATTCTTGCTTAAAAAGGCCTGATACCTGAAAAGGCCTTGTAAATGTATAGTTGATAATTGATTGGGCCTTGTAAATATATAATTGATGCTTCATAAGGCCTTGTAAATGTATAATTGATGCTTTATAAGGCCTTGTAAATTTATAATTGATGCTTTGTAAGGCCTTGTAAATGTATAATGTGCCTTCACGGCCTGAAAAAAAATGTTCAAACCAGAATGAGTACAAATGAGTGAGTGACTCACTTCACCAGATTCCACTTACTGTGCAGAGTTGTGTCCCTTGGACATGTCAGAAACCTATGATCAGGCTTTCGAAATCCCAGTTAGCCCTGTTTCTAGGCTTGTCAGCACCATACCCTGTGCTGGTGGGTTTTACCGAAGTGGTTAAACATCACTTCGGGCTTTCCTCCCGCGTTAGGCTGACACACTGTGATAGAACCAGAATATTTACTGTTGAAAGTGACGTTTATAACCCAACTCATTCACTCACTCACTGCAAAGATGATGTTGAACAGAGCTGAGGGCTCTCTCATAAATATTTCTGACAACAAGCCAATCTGGACAATGATGTTTTTGTGTTTATATCTAGTGTTCTCCTAGAGGCTTGTCATGTATCAATTGTATTCTTTTAATAAAAATTCTGAGTGCCGTTGTACAAGACAACCTTAGCGCTACGACTGTTGTAAGTCTATGTTAAGGTATTGGAGCTACACCCATCGAAGCATTAGATCGCTTTGTACAACAGCACCCTGGTTGGTAGGTATAAGAAAAGAGTATCATCGATACACTGGTGTACTGCAAAAATGATACATATTGCAGTATTGTTTCTGCGTGTGGGTGTATTGGGTTAAAAATCATTTAACTTGAAATCTACACAGAAATTCCTTCACAAATGATGTTTCCCTTCACAATTAATTGACAAAACGGAAACAGGGAAGTGATATTTTTCTCACTTTGTTATCTTCCCTGTATCCTACAAAAAAATGGGCATGCTGAGTTATATTTACTTCAGTATGTTGAAACTAGGATCTGCAAGTAAAATGATGATGATGATGATGACGATGACGATGACGATGACGATGATGATGACGATGACGATGACGATGATGATGATGATGATGATAGTAAACTACGGTTATAATGAAAGAAAGGGACCACTAATTTTAGTTCGTAAAAACCGTATTAAGATGTAAGCATATATACAGCATATATACAGCATATATACAACAAATGACCGGGACTAAAAAATAAGTTCGTTATATTGGTCAGTTCATTATAAACTTAGTTTACTGTATGTACATTGATGATGCGCCAAATTCCATTCATCAAGTGGATGTTTACAGTGCTACACAATCAGTGTCAAACACCTCATTGTCACTGTCAAACACTGTCAAACTCCCATGATATCGCAGTATGTGTCGCAATACAGATGCCTGTGTCACAATATATTGCAATACGATTTTTTGGCCTATTCAAGGCCCTTATAATCATGTTGAATTTGATTTTTGAAAAGAACCATCCTATGTTACAGGTGCACAAGGCCCTGCTTGCCGCCACTAGTGACTATTTCAGGGTCATGTTTGGAGGGGTCATGGCAGAGAGCAAGCAGGATACCGTTGACCTCAAGGGAGTCACGGCCGATGGCCTGCAACAGGTCATCGACTTCATCTATTCAGGAGAAATGGCGCTGCACTACGAAAACCTCACAGAGATTATCAACACAGCAAGCCATCTGCAGGTACTTAACTCAGGGTTACCTCCCGTGAAGATCCGGGGTAGAATAGGTCTTCAGCAACCCATGCTTGTCGTAAAAGGCGACTATGCATGTCGTAAGAGGCGACTAACGGGATTGGGTGGTCAGACTTGCTGACTTGGTTGAGCATGTCATCGTATCCCTATTGCGTGGATCGATGCTCATAATGTCAATCACTCGATTGTCTGGTCCAGACTCTATTATTTACAGACTGCCGTCATATAGCTGAAATATTGCTGAGTGTGGCGTTAAACAACAAACAAATAAACTCATTCAGGGTTAAACTTGGCTCAGGCTAGGTTCAGACTGTCTAATGTGGAATCTAGGGGTAAACTCCATCGATGCTCATGATGTCCATCACCAGATTGTCTGGTCCAGACTTGTCTATCTGCAGACCGCACTCATTTAGCTGAAATATTGCTGAGTGCTCGTTCCGTTAAACAAAAAACAAACAAACATAGGTGGAATATTGCTAAATGCAGCACTGAACAACAAACAAAGATATAGCTGAAATATTGCTGAGTGATGTGTTAGACAGCCATCAAAATAAAAAACAACATAGCTGGTATATCGCTGAATGACAACAAACAAACATAGGTGGAATAGTGCTGTAATGCTGTACTCATGTACTCAGTGAACAGTGGGACGTTACTCATGTACTCAGTGAACAGTGGGACGTTACTCATGTACTCAGTGAACAGTGGGACGTTACTCATGTACTCAGTGAACAGTGGGACGTTACTCATGTACTCAGTGAACAGTGGGATGTTACTCATGTACTCAGTGAACAGTGGGACGTTACGTTACTCATGTACTCAGTGAACAGTGGGACGTTACTCATGTACTCGGTGAACAGTGGGACGTTACTCATGTACTCGGTGAACAGTGGGATGTTACTCATGTACTCGGTGAACAGTGGGACGTTACTCATGTACTCAGTGAACAGTGGGACGTTACTCATGTACTCAGTGAACAGTGGGACGCTACTCATGTACTCAGTGAACAGTGGGACGTTACTCATGTACTCAGTGAACAGTGGGACGTTACTCATGTACTCAGTGAACAGTGGGACGTTACTCATGTACTCGGTGAACAGTGGGATGTTACTCATGTACTCAGTGAACAGTGGGACGTTACTCATGTACTCAGTGAACAGTGGGAAGTTACTCATGTACTCAGTGAACAGTGGGACGTTACTCATGTACTCGGTGAACAGTGGGACGTTACTCATGTACTCAGTGAACAGTGGGACGTTACTCATGTACTCGGTGAACAGTGGGACGTTACTCATGTACTCAGTGAACAGTGGGACGTTACTCATGTACTCAGTGAACAGTGGGACGTTACTCATGTACTCAGTGAACAGTGGGACGTTACTCATGTACTCAGTGAACAGTGGGACGTTACTCATGTACTCGGTGAACAGTGGGACGTTACTCATGTACAGATTGCCACTCCCTCCCTCACTCACTCACTCACTCGCCCCAATCTGGGACCTGGGTTTGAATAGGCCCCCTGCACTCCCATCGCTGTGCAGAGTTGCATCCCTTGGCCACACCAGCAACCTGTGATTGTGGGTTCAAATCCCAGTTCGCCCCGAATATGTTTCTTAGTTTGTTAGCACCCTTCCCATGATATATGATATAACTGGAATAATGTTCAAAGCAGCGTTAAACCCAACTCACTCACTCACTCACTCACTCACTCACTCACTCACTCACTCACTCACTCACTCACTCACTCACTCTCTCACTCACTCACTCACTCACTCACTCACTCACTCACTCACTCACTCACTCACTCACTCACTCAACCTCTCACTCTCTCACCCAACCACTCTGGAACCTGGATTAAAATAGGTCCCCAAACACTAATTCAACCACCCACCCAACCACCCGCCCACCCAACCACCCACCAAACCACTCAATCTACCACTCACTCACCCAATCATTCACTCTCTCCCTCACTCACTTGACATTGTTTCAGGTTGCCTCTGCCCTGGACGTCTGCAGCACTTACATCAAGTCACTGATGACTTTCGACAACGCTGAAGATTTCCTCAACATCGCAGACACCTATTCTCTTGAGAAGGTCCTCACACACTGGGAAAACATGATCCAGGAAAAGTTCTATGACTTCAGCCAGACTCAGGCATACCTCAAGATGGAAGCAGAGACTCTGTCCAAGCACCTGTCCAGGGACTCCTTGAGGATCACGTCCGAGTATCAGTTATTCTGCTGTCTCGATAAGTGGTTCAGGTCAAATCCAATGAGAATTGTCAACGACGGCTTCACAGTGTTCTCCAAAGTGAGATTTCCATTGATGTCAGAACAGGAACTGGCAATGGTTCGGGACAGCGAAATAATACAGAGATGCTCCACCCAAGTGAAAGAGTTGGTACGTAAAGGGTATCATTATCACGACGCATGCAAAAAGGGGCATCCAATGATTGACGAGTCGACAAGGGTACGAAGCAATTCGTCGTCTATAATCCTCATCCACCATGGCACTTCGTACATGCCCTTCCAAGTGACTGCCTACAATAGCAATGCCGGGATGTTCTACAGTGTCTACTCTGATGTTAATGGTAGCCGGGACTGCAGGATCGCCTCGGTGGATAACTTTGCATACATTTGCCGAGTTGTAGATTTCGGAGGAGGGACACTGATGAGTTCCCTTTTCAGATTTGATCCAAGACATCTGATTGGTCAAGAGTTGCGACCAATGAGAAGACTGCGAATTGATTTCACCCTGGTTTCGTTTAATCGGAGTGTGTATGCTTTCGGGGGTTCAACGGAGCAGTTTGCAATCTTGGACTCCGTGGAACGGTACAGTGCTGTGAACAACACGTGGGAGGACGTTGTAGCCATGCCCGCCCCGACTCATTCTCTATCTGCTATAGTTTATGGAGAGAGAATTTACCTCTCGGGCGGCATTTCCGGGCAAGATCGACAGACTATCAATACATTCACCAGTTTCGATCCTGCTACACAGCGCTACGAAACTAAACCAGGAATGTTTTATGCCCGCCGCCTCCATGACATGGTAGCATACAACGGGTCTATATATGTTCTAGGGGGCATCCCAAGACCTGGGGTTCCCCTTCATGGACAAATTCCAATAGAGTGTTTTAGCTTCCACACCAATCAATGGACTATGCTGTCGTCCACGCTCAGTGGGCGGTCAGTAGGTCACTATATCAACTTTGAAGGTCAGATTCTTTCCTTGGGACATGAGCACCACAATGCTACAGAGGATGAAATATGGGCGTATGACACGGATCTTGACGATTGGTCGAAATATGCAAAAGCTCCACAGAGAATGAGTTTGAACTCCGCTATTTGCACACAACTGTATGTTAACTTTGACGATGAAAAGATCGCGAAGAAGTTCCTCAAGGAGAAGTGAATGCTTGATACTGTCTCTGATGCAACAAGCATGTTCGAGAGGATGCCCGGCAAGCTTCATCATGGATACAGAGTGCAAGAAACATCACTGTGATTTTCCAAGCACTTGGAGATGTGTCTCTCTGCTTGTACCTCTGTTAGAGGGGACTAAACTGTATATTGCTGAGCTTTGCTGTAATCAACAGCAGAGGGTGATCTCAGGCACTGATGGAGTCTATCTCAATCTTCTGTGACATGACTATCACAGTTGTATTTCATCAGAAAATACCTCAGAAAGTTTTGAGATGGTCCCTATACCTTTTTAACTGGCCAAAGTTATGAGAATTGTTTTAAAGAGTACCTCAATATTCTATCCTCATCAGTGATAGGCTGCTGTTGCCAATGCAGACTGGGAAATTTGTAGAAGATAGATGTTGTTAACTAAATGATCTGGTTTGGAATATTTCCTGTCTGTGAGGGCTTGAACCTGCCTCACATGTACATCATTGTCGGAATGTAAAACAGATCTGATGCAATGTTACTTGTAATTTTAATATGATTGAATTTTATTATCAGCACTACACTTTTTATTTTATGGTTTCTGGATTTTAGGCCCCAAAATTCAGGTCAGAAGGATGGAATTTGTTTTCTTTTTTTTTACAAATATATGTTTTTTATTTCCTCTCACAATTCATCATAATTTGTTGTTTTGAAGTTTTGAAGATTAAGTTTCAAAAGGTTTTAATTATAGTAATTTTTGATAATATATTTACATTGATGGCGACAGTAAATGAGTTCTTTTTCGATATTTTACTTCTTTGGTCGTCAGATTTAAAAAAAACATGCTGATTATTTATCTATTTTATATATTGTTTTTCTAGATAAAGTTTTTGGAGTTGTCAGATTTATAAACCGAGTTTTAAGAAAATCCTGGCCTTACTGTTTGTTAGTTTTATGTAGGACAAAGACTGTTCTTTGTCGTTGAGTTTGGAACTTTGCTTTTTGGTTTGTAAAACACTTTGTTAAGTTTAAGGCCATAAAACATTCACTTTGAGATTTTCATTCTTGCTAAAATATAAATGTTTAATCAATATTCACCTCATTCTACATGTAATTACCATATTCCAGAATGGAATTTTGTGAAATGGTTATATTAAACACCTATAGTCAGAGTCTCAATATTGACAGGAAACTCGCATCATCGCTTTATCATGGCCTAATTCTATTGTCTGTTGGGGCATGTAGACTAAAGCTCAACAATTCCCTGTGCAGAGTTGCATCCCTTAGTCATGCCAGGATCCTAAGATTATGAGTTTGAATCCCAGATGCGGTGCTGACATGCAGTGATACTGTTCGAAGTCATGCAGTCACAACTGTCTCTTGATGATGGAAATGGCCCTTGTGTACAGGAGGGGCGGTCGGGTAGCCTAGCGGTTAAAGCGTTCGCTCGTCACACCGAAGACCTGGGTTCGATTCCCGACATGGGTACAATGTGTGAAACCCATTTCTGGTGTCCCCCGCCGTGATATTGCTGGAATATTCCTGAAAGCGGCGTAAAACCATACTCACTCACTCACTCACTTGTGTGCAGGAAGTCTTTTACTTCAAACCAGTCCACAATATGACTCTTTGACTAGAGTTTCCCAGTCTGTGTTGTCTGCAGGCAGCTCATCTTCCACTAGGTACCTCAACATGACAGTCAGCGCCACACCTCTTCGTTGTCTATCTCACCACATCATCATTTTCCTATAGCCTTCAGGTTCAGATATGTTCTCAGTCTGCGACTGTAATCACAAGTGCAAAGGCAGAATCGAGAAAATTTGTGTGATTGTAAGCCTTGATATCAATAACCATACAGTCTGCGACTTCAGCCTCTTGTCTGAAACCCATGTCTAGTAAGATTTTGTTTGGTCGTGTGACCCATACGAAGAAAGTACATATATTTTACCCGTAAGTTTACGGAAAGTGATACCAAGAGATTATTTTGGGCTAGTTGACATGGTCTACTCCGAAGGTTTTGGCATACTGTTCATATTTATATATGATAAATGTACTAAAAATAAAAATAGGTTCTGGCTGTTATTATTAGTCACCTGTGCGTTCACTTGTACTGACCCAGTACTGACCAGTACTGACAAGTACTCTCAATCCAGTACTCTGTCAGAGATTTGATCCAGTAGGGATAGATCTTACGCAATGCAAACACTTGAATGAGAGTGAGGTCACCGCAAGTGGAACTGTTTTCCATCATCGAAAAAAAAGGCCTAGAATTCCACTAAATCAAATTTCGTTAACTTAGGTGATTATGCCAACACTGACAGAGCAGTCTTGTGCTTACCGTTACAAAAGGGTATTTTACAGTTCTAGGACCTTTTCTTTGTATATATGTATTGTGTTCATGGAATGTGGGGCATCTTCTTAGATGTTACTGGTGGTGCCCTTTCTACATAGGTTTTGTACTGGATACTGAACCTTCCCTTAGATACTACAGGTGCTCTTCCTTAAGATGTATTAGATAAAATCCTCGTCCTTGTTTTGGCCTAGAAATGGTAAGTGACTTTTTAGATTTGGCAACACTAATTGTTTGCCTAGGTATTGCAGGTGACTTTTCTACATTTGGCAACACTAATTGTTTGCCAAGGTATCGCAGTTGACCTTTTTAGATTTGGCAACATTAATTGTTTGCCTAGGTATCGCAGTTGACCTTTGTAGATTTGGCAACATTAATTGTTTGCCTAGGTATCGCAGTTGACCTTTGTAGATTTGGCAACATTAATTGTTTGCCTAGGTATCGCAGTTGACCTTTGTAGATTTGGCAACATTAACTTTTTGCCTAGGTATCGCAGTTGACCTTTCTAGATTTGGCAACACTACCGGTAATTGTTTGCCTAGGTATTGCAGTTGACCTTTCTAGATTTGGCAACAGTATTCATTTGCCTAGGTTTTGCAGGTGCTCCTGAGAGGTTGTGAGATGATGGTATGGTGAGGTTGATAGTTAATCTACCTGTGTCTGGCTGGCACTGTCTACCTGCACATAAATAGCTCAAGACATTCATCACATATGTACACATGCAATCAGGGGCAGTGGTTCAGTTGGACCTTCATGTATACCGTTTTGTTCATGGCCTTTAAAGATGCCTTTGATTCTGGGAGAATTCTGTTTTTATCATATCTGCACAAAAAGTTGCTTTCGAGTGTTCCTAGTCTTCAGATCTCACTTCCTGAAAATTTGGCCTAAGTGAAACCCGGTCTTGCATTTTTATATGTACCTATATCCCCCTGAAGCACTCCCAAACAAGGCTTCGGTTGATGCGACACTGCAATTGTAACTAGCCACTGCAGAATGGTTGGCGGAACAGTGTTCGAAATTAAGCATGAAAGTCAGATGGTCCTCTTGAGTCATATTCTATGGAGAAAACCTGAAGGACCAAAGTCTCATTAAAATCAGATCTTAGTTCTCGCTGCCGCTAAACAAAGATCTGAGGACATCCCATAACGGGTCATGTCAGACCGACCTTTTGCGAATTTCGCGACCAATGGAATGACTGACAAGAAGTCCACATTAGCCAATTAGAAGGCAGCTTAATTGAGCTTTACGGCACGAGTTTCAAACTGGCAACTTCGCTTTGAAACACATTCTGACATATGCTCGATTAGAAAATTAATAACTGAACAAAAAAGATTATGGAATGGCTAATAGATGGTCTAGATTGTATGAGTACAGACATAAAGCCGATAACTGTCATTTGGAATACCCTATGTTGTTGTTTTCGAGGTTGCACAATCAAAAATCACATTCCAGCTGTCACTTTCCCCGATCTAGTAACCGATGCTCTGAGTGGTCAGATGAAAAGTCGTTCTGATGTGACCCGCAATGGGATGTCCTCAGATCCTTGTTTAGCGGTAGCAAGAACTAAGACCTGATTTTAATGAGATTGTAAGGACCTCAAGACCTCCGTTAATTTTGAACACTGAAAAAATAGCATTGTTTAGAAATAATAATTAGATAGTGATAGGTCTAAGGCCCTTACAGCATGAGCATGCATAACGTGTATGTTGAACAAAAGACAGATTGACGGCAAGATTGTACTGAAGTTAAGGGTGTGAGCATGGTCTGTGCCTGTAATCAGTCTGGGGTCAGACTGTGGGCATGGTCTCTGCCTGTGTTCTGTCTGGGGTCAGACTGTGGGCATGGTCTGTGCCTGTGTTCTGTCTGGGGTCAGACTGTGGGCATAGTCGGTGTCTGGGGTCAGACTGTGGGCATGGTCTCTGCCTGTGTTCAGTCTGGGGTCAGACTGTGGGCATGGTCTCTGCCTGTGTTCTGTCTGGGGTCAGACTCTGGGCATGGTCTCTGCCTGTGTTCAGTCTGGGGTCAGACTGTGGGCATGGTCTGTGCCTGTGTTCAGTCTGGGGTCAGACTGTGGGCATGGTCTCTGTCTGGGGTCAGACTGTGGGCATGGTCTCTGCCTGTGTTCAGTCTGGGGTCAGACTGTGGGCATGGTCTCTGCCTGTGTTCAGTCTGGGGTCAGACTGTGGGCATGGTCTCTGCCTGTGTTCTGTCTGGGGTCAGACTGTGGGCATGGTCTCTGCCTGTGTTCTGTCTGGGGTCAGACTGTGGGCATGGTCTCTGCCTGTGTTCTGTCTGGGGTCAGACTGTGGGCATGGTCTCTGCCTGTGTTCTGTCTGGGGTCAGACTGTGGGCATGGTCTCTGCCTGTGTTCTGTCTGGGGTCAGACTGTGGGCATGGTCTGTGCCTGTGTTCTGTCTGGGGTCAGACTGTGGGCATGGTCTCTGCCTATGTTCAGTCTGTCTGATTCCACCCTGTACAAAGCTGGTACAAAACATTTCAAAAACAAAGTCACGTGTTAATTGATAGATCTGGTATCAATACTCCAGAAATTGTTTTTGTGTGTTTAGAAATATGCAGGCAGATTATTATCATAAATGGAAATGTAAGAGTAAATTAGATTTGGTCGGCCTTTGGACCACTTCATTTGGTTGACTCAAAACTCTTTAAACCATTGATACAGCTTTACACCCTGGTTTTGGGTGACCAAGTGATTAACACCACTCTCTCAGAAATACAGGACTGGCATTTCCGCACCTCGGCTTGAAACCATGGCAACATTAGGACTGCTGTTTACTGGCCAGGGTTATCTGAAACTATCACGGGACCTCTCGTTTGTAACCACTAGTAACTATTGTTACCAACTGTGTTGGACTTTTGATAATGTTGTTTATTAGTTTATAAGAAATATCTGATTGTCTCCCGTTGGTTGCCATCCTTGACACGATCATACTGCCTCGTATATACATATGTGTTGTGTTTCAAGCTATGATGATATATATATCTATATATATGAAACTACATTTACCTCAAGTTGTCCTGCTGAAACTTCAGTATCTGTACCTTTGATCTATTTGGGCAAGCCACTCAAATATTCAAATGGTGGTCGTTCAGCATCCTCAGTTCCCAGTATATTGTATCTAGCCATTCCCCTGGGGGAATGTTCAAATGATGGTCGTTCAGCATCCTCAGTTCCCAGTATATTGTATCTAGCCATTCCCCTGGGGGAATGTTCAAATGGTGGTCGTTCAGCATCCTCAGTTCCCAGTATATTGTATCTAGCCATTCCCCTGGGGAATGTTCAAATGGTGGTCGTTCAGCATCCTCAGTTCCCAGTATGTTGTATCTAGCCACTCCCATAGGGGAACGTTTAAATGGTGGTCGTTCAGCATCTTCAGTTCCCAGTATATTGTATCTAGCCATTCCCCTGGGGGAATGTTCAAATGGTGGTCGTTCAGCATCCTCAGTTCCCAGTATATTGTATCTAGCCACTCCCATAGGGGAACGTTTAAATGGTGGTCGTTCAGCATCTTCAGTTCCCAGTATATTGTATCTAGCTACTCCCCTGGGAGAATGTTCAAATGGTGGTCGTTCAGCATCCTGAGTTTCCAGTGTATTGTATCTAGCGACTCCCAAGGGGGAACATTCAAATGGTGGTCGTTCAGCATCCTCTTTCAAGTGTATAGTATCTTCAATCTATTAGGATCAATATCCTGGACCAATTGTCTTCCATAGATTCATTTTTGAAGTGATGCAACCAGCTCCATCTCCCCTATCACTAACTGTGAACAGAATTTCCTTTCGCATGTGCTCAAAATCAACAGCCAATCAAATTGCCTCTTCTAAATGCGAGTTCAGCATAGTTCTGATTTCAAAATTGCATCCTCATCCAAGTGAGCCTGGATGTATTTCAAGGAACCGAAAACTGTTCCGAATGATTCTCTACTGGAAAAGATGTTTTCCTGAGTACAAAAACAGGGTAGGAATTCCTTTTGTTACAAGACGTTCCCGTTGTAAAAGGATGGCACACGAAAGTTGAGACGAGTACTGATATCGCTGCGCGTTTAAATCATGAAGGAACCGTGGAATTTGATTTGATTTCTTTTTTTAGCATCATGTCATGTAAACCCGCCTCAAAAGAAAGCCAAGGTTGCATATGGGTCCAGGATATGTGTCATAATATAATGGAAATACACGACCCACTGGATAATCGGGGATGGTCGTTCCTATAATCAGGATAAACCGTCATGAATGGTTGAACATTTTATTATCGCTGTCGTGTCCATTTGTGAATCTTAGAAATGGTGCATAGAGTATTTCTAAATATCATTGACATTTTGTAGCCATTGTGAACACTATTAATCATTTGATTTGTTCATTACCATATTTTCCTTATGTTTGTGTGTAAAATCACGTTCTGGGTAATTTTACGCATGAGCAAGAGCAAGAGCAATCATATATTTTCTTTTACAAACAAGGCTTCCAAACATATGGAATGTTTGTTTTTTAAATAGAGGTGTTTATTTGTAAATATTTAAAAACAAATTGGGGTGGGGTGGGGTGTGGAGTCTCATACTTTTGTTATCAATTTTATTTGTGGAGGTTTTTTATGGACGTAAAACTGAAATCAAGCCTGAGAAATAGATATTCTATTATTTCACCTCCTGCGTCTTGGAATATTGATCAAGAAATCCATAACACAAGATATGAAATTGGTCTGGATTGAATTTTAATATTTCCAGTAAATATATAAAGACTTAATCGGTTGCCATGTTTGTACATTCAGTTACATTAGTTAAACAATTTTGGGATGGGATGAAATTGGAAACACACGTTATTGGAGGGCTTCATCTTTTGTGTGTCATGTACAAGTTGACTCAGAATATATTGACATTTGAGATGCATGTTATTTGATAATTTTGTAAACCCACAAAATAATAACTTTTGTGTTATTTTTGCCTTGGAAGGGGAAGGGAAGACAATATAATAGTGATGTTTAAAATTTCTTCATGTAACATTTTGAATTCATTTGTGTCAGTTTGACTTTTTATGATCAGTGAATAGACTCAGTCTCAAACAGAATGTTTAGGTACAGTGAGGGTGTTGTTGTGGTGGTTCAGACACAGGAAAATATCTTCTTGTTTCTGTTCCCTTGCTGAAAGAATAACAAGAAGCTGGATCAAATTTGAATTGTAATTTTCATTTCGGTTTTTGAAGCCTCAACCTGAATTCTGAATTGTACTAATGGAGAAATGGTATATAGAAACCTAGTCAAAATGGGTTACATCAAAAAGTACAACTTTGGAATGGAAAGTAGCTCCAAAAATGCGGAATAGGAACCGAAATTAGCATTCACAATATTAACGCTGGGGTCTGGCCAGTTTACCAGGGTTGGTGAGATGATGAGAAACAAGAAATATTTTTAATGTGGCCTTAGAATAAATATTATATCACCTCAACTAGTATTGAGGAAAAAGAAGATGAACTTTGCCAGTAATTTTTTCTTGCGTCCTATGTCTTCTTTTCGCTTGGAATTTCTTCGAAATCACTTGGCTACAAGGATTTGATGTGCGTTAAACCTTCACCCATCCTTCAGCCAGGCAATCAGTGTTATGGTGCCCCAACATGTAGCCGTGTACAGTGTTTGTATCATGGTTTATTGGTTCTAGTCTTATGGAAAACATGGTGAAAATTATTTATACCTTAGTGTTAGTTTATGCAATTTGATTAAATCAGGGGTATCATCAGCTATCAAGTGACTTCATTTGGCCATAGCAAACTGTTGTTCCGATTGCAAGGCTGTCATAATCAGAGTCTCCAGAACATGATTGTATTTTCTTATTGTTTTTTCTGTGTGTGTGATCCAACTAAAATAGTGGCTACATTGATAGCATCACTGAAATATTGAAGTCTGGGTAATTGGAACCACTGTTTCTTCTGCTGGCCTTGTTTGTACCTTTGTGTGTGTGTGTGTCTGTGTGTGTGTCTGTGTGTGTGTGTCTGTGTGTGTGTGTGTGTGTGTCTGTTTGTGTGTCTGTTTGTTTTTGTTGTGTGTGTGTGTGTGTGTGTCTGTCTGTCTGTCTGTTTGTGCGTCTGTTTGTGTTTGTTTTGTGTGTGTGTGTGTGTGTGTGTGTGTGTGTGTGTTTGTGTTTGTGTTTGTGTTTGTGTTTGTGTTGTGTGTCTGTGTGGATTCTTCAGGGATCAGAGTTGTCTCCCTTTACCAGATTCAGATGCGTATATTGTATATAGATACCGAAGTTTCAGTAGAAAAGCCTATTGTTACATTTGCTTATTTTTTTTACATTCATCCTCAATTTTGCGTTCTAAAACAGAGTGGGATTCATGACGTGTATCCGACTTTGAAATGTTGATATTTATTTATGCACATCAGACTTTCAAACTTTTGACATCAATATATTATGCATTTAATCCACATTAATGTATGTTTTTTTAACAGCTCTCATTCATAATGTGTGTAAGTAATTCAGCTGTTGATTGTGTTGACCATGTTTGTACATATGTCTTGTGATGACAGCTCATGCTGCGGTGTAGTGAGTGGGTCGTACTAGCTTCACACAACATGTTCATGCTTTGTATGTCAGGACAACACAAATTATAAATAAATTGCATCAATTTTGTTTAGGTTATAGGTACCTATTCGTATCTTGGAATTACATTATGCATATGTGAACAAAAAATCAGAGTATTTTTCCGTCTTACTGGTGAAGTGCACATCTTGGAAGAAACATATTTTTTAAGGAAAACAGTATATTCATAGCTCAAACATATGTTGAATGGCGAGCCACTAAGGTTTAGATACGGAATCTTAAGGTGTTGTTAAGTAAGAATCTGGTGATGCTCCGAACTATCTGTGTGAACTACTCTAACTCTTGGATCTTCGAGATCTGTTCAACAACAACTCTGAGTGTACCAAAGTCAGGACTCCAAGCTGTGGTCATCTGAACTCCGCACCTCGCCATCCTTCCCTTCTTTCAAGACCCCAGAAATCTAGGATAGTGGGTTCAAATCCCAGTTCGCCCCGATTATGTATCTAGGTCTGTCAGCACCATACCCGTGCTCGTGGGTTTCACCGAAGTGGTAAACGTCTGAGACCTGCGTCACTTCGGGCTTTCCTCCCACATTAAGCTGACACGCCGGATATAACTGGAATACTGTTAAAAGCGGCGTTAAACCCAACTCACTGACTTTATTATTGATCTTCGCCTGGATGGGTTTCATTAAAAAGTACAACTTCAGAATGGAAAATAACTTAAACTATGGAACCAAAACCAAATTTTGCATGCACAAAATAAATAATGTTACTTTATGATTGGGCCAGTCATACGATTTTTTCTCAACTTTGAAAAGTTATGTGTCCTTAATAATTAGTTACATTCGGTGTTCGTTGTAAGATCATTGTGAAATAGTGGCATGTATGGAGAGTGTCCGTGTTGTTTATATGTAAAATAACGTGAGAACAAGTACATGTATATTAGTGATTTTATAGGGGGATATCCTCCATACTTCTTGTAGAAAGGTAATGTTTTATAACATATTATGTGTATAACATGTTATCTCTATATATATTTTGCCGAAGACCCGGGTTTGATTCCCGACATGGTAACAATGTGTGAAGCCCATTTCTGGTGTCCCCTGCGTGATATTGCTTGAATATTGCTAAAAGCGGCGTAAAACCAAACTCACTCACTCACTATATCTATTTCGTGTATTGTTAAAATATTACCGGACCTTTTGAAAAAATAAGATTTCCTCTATTACAAGCTGTTGACCATCTGTACTGTTAAATGCTAAGTAGCATCTCACCTCCTAACATGTCCCAAGTAATGGGATGGGCATCAATGGGCATTAAATTCTATCAAATAATGTATCATGCATTTATCAGAGGATCGTGCATCTTTTAATAGAGGTTCATGCGCCTTTTAATAGAAGATCATACATCTCTGATAGAAGATCATGCATCTTAAATAGAAGAGCATGCATCTTAAATAGAAGAGCATGCATCTTAAATAGAAGAGCATGCATCTTAAATAGAAGAGCATGCATCTTAAATAGAAGATCATGCATCTTTGATAGAGGAACATACACACACTGACAAAAATCAATGATATAAACATTCAAAATAACTAGTATCCCAATTAAAGTTTTTCAAGATATTTTAGATACGATAAGATAGACTTTATATCCTGAGGGAATTTTTCTTGCAATATACAAATCTCAGCAGCGAAATATGATTAGAAATCTTGAATAATGCAATAGATAAAAGATATCTATCACAGAGTACTATCTAATCTATTTAGGAAAGAAAAAAACCTCCCATCTCCCACCCCCACGTGATGAAAGAATTCAATGTTGCTTCAGTCATGCTATGATGTTGTATAATCAGTATATACCTCCACTATGTGCCCACACTATAACACTTACCTCATAACACTGTCCTCCACAAGAAGGCAACCCTTGTTATAACAAAGTCTCAAATTATCGCCTGCCCAATGTAGGCATTATCAAGCAGTCACTTTATATACACTGCCACTCTTGTTTCCCATTTATGACCTATACAAGCTTACATGACCCACCCCTAGTTAGTTTTGTTAATATTTGTTGCAGGGTCACATGGAGTTTTTTGTGTCCAACATTAGGTTTTATACCACGAGCCGGAAGCGAGCAGTATAAAACCTAACGAGGACACATAAAACCCCATGTACCCCGAGTGATCCTGCTGCAACAAATTTATCCTACAGCCATGTTTTGATATGACATTGTAAAATTATTCAAATAAATTCTATTAAATTTGATCAAGCTCTCTCACGTGACATCAGTTGGCTCAGAAAAAGCATGCAGCTTTTTGCTTCAAAGCGGGGTATAAAGGATTTATTCTGTCTCTCAGAAATGTACGTGCAGTCTGTAGTACTGAAGGTGGGGTATAAGAGATTTATTCTCCCCCCTCCCCCGAGAAATTTATTACCATCCACCACAGTATTTTATCAAGATCACGTGGACCAATCAGACATAGAAGTATGATGGTTGCATTATGGAAGTATGATTGTTGCATTTAACATTACTAAGGTGGTGTTAATATGGCATTATAATGAGGGATGTCCGTCCCTGCGACAATGTGTATTAAGGAATGTAATCAAGTTGTCTGTGAATTATGTGCTGGGGTAGCCGAGTGGTTCAAGTGCTTGCTTGTCCCGCCAAAGGCTCAGGTTTGATTTCCACTCATGGATGCAATGTGTCATCCCATTTCTGGTATCTCTCCTCCTCCCTCCTAATATCATCTGGTATATATAATGCAGATGCAAGTGATTATGGGGGGCACGGGTGGCCCAGTCGTCTAAGGCGCCGCAATTCGCTGTGCAGAGTTGCGTCCCTTGGGCACGCCAGAAACCTATGATTGTTTACCCCGATTATGTTTCTAGGTTTGTCAGCACCATTCCCATGCTCGTGGGTTTCACCGAAGTGGTAAACATCCAAGACCTGCATCACTTTGGGCTTTCCTCCCACATTAAGTTGACACGCCGTGATATAATCGGAATACTGTTAAAAGCGGCATTAAACCCAACTCACTCACTCACTCACTGTGATTATGAGTCTAAGTTTGTCAGCACCATACCAATGCTCATGGGTTTTGCCAAATTTTGGATTTTTCTCCCAAATTAGAACTGCATCCCTACTGACCTGCTGTGATATAACCAAAATACTGTTCAAAGTGGCTTTAGACCCAACTTACAAACAAAACGTTTTTGAGTGTAAGAAATTTCTTTTCTAAATATACAGCCCTCCAACAGTGTCACTTCTATGGATGGCCCACTGAGTGTGCTGGAGGTGAACAAGCGTCCATGACAGACAGGGTTGTGATGGTGAGGTGAAATGTGGTTAAGGTTTATTGCACATATGTAGCAACGTCTGTGTGTAGATGCTTGTACTGGTCCAGAATAATGCCAGTGTTATCATGCTAGTCTGTTGGGATACCGTGCTACAGTTAAACATGGAAACCCCACTCAGACACAGTATACTGACGCCAAATGTCTTTTGGTATGGCACAGCCAGGGATCAAACCTCCGACAATCTGTCCACTAGACCACGGAAGTAGTGTAATGATATTATTGGCATGTGTAAGTATGTCATTGTTGCTCACCCCATCGACCACTGGTTCACCTGGATGTACAGGCCTCCAGGATGTGGCTGGAATATTGCTGACTGGCATAAATCAAAACAAAAACAAATTTTCTGAACATCTTTCATTTTTCACTTTAAAATATCAGAAACAAAGAGCCTCAGCAATAAATTTTATTAAAATAAATAACAACACCATTTTAGTTCTAAGAAAATATATATATGTTAAATAGACCCTAATTATTAATATTTGGTTTATAATAAATTTAAAAGAAACAAAGCAGTGACTTGAAATGTATAGGTATGCAAAGAAAAACCTTTCAAGCTCTCTCGGTGTACAATGTTGTGTTGTGTGAGTCGTGGTGGATAGCTTGTTGTCGTGCAAACGTGTCATATTTTGTCCTCGAGATCATCAGGCGTTCGTGAGATTGTAGAACCTCATTTGTTTCTTCCATCAGATTCGCAGTTGTGATAGTTGTTGGCATGGGTGCTACAGAAGTGTAGAGGTAGACACCCACATACACCAGGTACCTTCCTGTATACACCCACGTACACCTGGTACCTTCCTGTATACACCCACCTACATCAGGTACCTTCCTGTATACACCCACATACACCAGGTACCTTCCTGTATACACCCACGTACACCAGGTACCTTCCTGTATACACCCACGTACACCTGGTACCTTCCTGTATACACCCATGTACACCAGGTACCTTCCTGAGAACAGAAATACACATGGACATATCTGTATACACACACGTACACCAGGTACCTCCCTGTATACACCCACGTACACCAGGTACCTTCCTGTATACACCCACATACACCAGGTACCTTCCTGAGAACAGAAATACACATGGACATATCTGTATACACACACGTACACCAGGTACCTTCCTGAGAACAGAAATACACATGGACATATCTGTATACACACACGTACACCAGGTACCTTCCTGAGAACAGAAATACACATGGACATATCTGTATACACACACGTACACCAGGTACCTTCCTGTATACACCCACGTACACCTGGTACCTTCCTGTATACACCCACGTACACCAGGTACCTTCCTGTATACACCCACGTACACCTAGTACCTTCCTGTATACACCCACGTACACCAGGTACCTTCCTGAGAACAGAAATACACATGGACATATCTGTATACACCCACGTACACCAGGTACCTCCCTGTATACACCCACGTACACCAGGTACCTTCCTGAGAACAGAAATACACATGGACATATCTGTATACACCCACATACACCAGGTACCTTCCTGAGAACAGAAATACACATGGACATATCTGTATACACACACGTACACCAGGTACCTTCCTGAGAACAGAAATACACATGGTCATATCTGTATACACACACGTACACCAGGTACCTTCCTGTATACACCCACGTACACCTGGTACCTTCCTGTATACACCCACGTACACCAGGTACCTTCCTGAGAACAGAAATACACATGGACATATCTGTATACACACACGTACACCAGGTACCTTCCTGAGAACAGAAATACACATGGACATATCTGTATACACACACGTACACCAGGTACCTTCCTGAGAACAGAAATACACATGGACATATCTGTATACACACACGTACACCAAGTACCTTCCTGTATACACACACGTACACCAGGTACCTTCCTGAGAACAGAAATACACATGGACATATCTGTATACACACACGTACACCAGGTACCTTCCTGAGAACAGATATACACATGGACATATCTGTATACACACACATACACCAGGTACCTTCCTGAGAACAGAAATACACATGGACATATCTGTATACACACACGTACACCAGGTACCTTCCTGAGAACAGAAATACACATGGACATTTCTGTAGTACCTGTGGCTACAACCCTAACAGCATCGGTTTCATTGAAGTAGTTATGTGTATAGTCACATAGACAGATGATGATGATGATATACCTCAGTTAAATGTGCATGTGTGATGTTCTGAAAGTATTCTGTTTGAATAGAACAAATTTCAAGATTTATGATCTTTTTGACGCAAATATTTGTGTGAAATTGGGAATTTGTCTTTGATTATCAGGAAAATATTTAGATTTTAGACAGTTTATTGGAATGATGAAACAAAATGTAGAGAACATATTTGTGGTTATTGAGTAATGTATTGTTTAAATAAGTTTAATCAAGTAAATACATGGTTAGATTAAAACCATTTTGAACAGATCAGTTCTGTGTTAAAGAGTGCAATTGGATGGGGTTGTACAATTGTATCTTATCTTATTTTGTAGCTTTTGTTTCAACACATTCTAAAAGTTCTGCAAATTATCACACCATTGGATCTTTAATATAGCTTTTAAAGAATATACTAATGTCAACACAAACGTTATTGTCCTGCAAATTATCACACTGAATTCCTGAGTATTTAGTATGACAAAACGATTCTGGTAAAAGTAGTGTGTCCAACTTGGTGAGGATTTCTGTTCTTTCACAACTTCTCAAACTGTTTGATTAAACTGCGGATTAATAACCTGCTTGTTTATTAATCTTGTACATTTTGTCTTAATCAAGTGAATATTATCTGTTGCTTTCTATATATATAAGGGGGCACGGGTGGCCCAGTCGTCTAAGGCGCCGCGATTCGCTGTGCAGAGTCACGTCCCTTGGGCACGCCAGAAACCTATGATTGTGGGTTCCAATCCCGGTTCGCCCCGATTATGTTTCTAGGTTTGTCAGCACCATGCCCGTGCTCGTGGGTTTCACCGAAGTGGTAAAGGTCTTAGACCTGCATCACTTCAGGCTTTCCTCCCACATTAAGCTGACACGCCGAGATATAACTGGAATACTGTTAAAAGCGGCGTTAAAACCAACTCACTCACTCACTCACTATATATATAATGCATTTATACACTGCGTGAACAAACATGGACCCCAGGCTAAGCCTATGGGGATGTAAGCAGGTACTTAGTGCTTTGAACCAAAAATACAGTTGAGAGGAACTTATTTTGTAAATCTTATCAAATCAATGCAGAATTTGAAATGTTTTAAATGTAAACAATGTATTTGTCTTCAAGTGTATATTTTTCCACATCCTTGATTGATGATTTGACAGTCAAATGCTGTGTCCTTTGTGGGCGGAGAGGTGGGGTGGTCTTGCTTAGGCGGATCCAGATGGGGGGGTCAGGACCCCTCCCCCAGAGCTACAGATAAGCTTCGTAAAATACCCCCCAAAACTACTCAAACCAAATTACTTCAATTAACTTGTGTACAGAAATGCATGCACTAAATGAAAAACTCAAATGTATAAAAACAGCATGCGTAAATTCCCAATGAAGCTCTTACAGCCTGCGTACAATGTAGATAATTTCTTAACACAATTATGAGCTGATTAACCCTCCGAGTCAAGCCTATATTTGGAACCATTTTATACTTTTAAAACATTATTTAAGTTTTTTTTAAATCTCAAAATGCTTACTCATTTTGGGAAAAAACAAATAGAGTGATGAATAGATGAGTGAAAAAATATTGGTTACCCAATGAAAAATGTAAAAATCCAATTGCTCAAAAAGTTATCTGGAGCTCATCCCCCCCCCCCCCCCCCCCCTTTTTTTTTAAAACCAAATGATATTTTGGACCCCTACTTTTTAAAAATGCTGGATCCGCCCTTGTCTCGTATGGTGCGAGCATATTTCAAGTTTGTGGACACAGGTGGTAGAGCACCCTGATATGTTGTAGATAATGTACCATACCAAAGAGATTATCAGAGAAGCTTTTGAAATATGCTTATACCATGTTTGGATTGTTTGACGTTGAATGTTTGACTTCACAGTCAGAAACTGAGGTATGTTTAATGTCATATGATGTGTGTGGTGGCATGTCATCACTGTCCATATGACATCATTATGTCTGTGACATCACATCTGTATGACATCACAGTCCATATGACATTAATGTCATGTGATGTGGGGGCGGTCGGGCAGCCTAGTGGTTAAAACATTTGCTCGTCTCGCCGAAGACCCGGGTTTGATTCCCGACATAGGTACAATGTGTGAAGCCCATTTCTGGTGTCCCACGCCGTGATATTGCTGGAATAAAAGCCATGTAAAACCATACTCAGTCAGTCATGTGATGTGACATCACAATCTGTATGATATCACAGTCCACATGACATTAAAGTATGTATAATGTCATGTGATGTGTGACATAATCTCATATCACACTACAGTCGCTATGACATTAGGATAAGTATAATGCCATGTATGACATCAAGGTGATATATACAATATCATGTGATGTATGATATCAGTTGGAATGACATCAAGGTATATGTTGTGATGTGATGTGTGGTATCACGATGACATCAAGGTATGTGTTGTGATGTGATGTGTGGTATCACGTTGACATCAAGGTATATGTTGTGATGTGATGTGTGGTATCACGATGACATCAAGGTATGTCATGTGTCAGGCTATCTCTGCATGACATGAAATTGTACATAATGTCATGTGTGATACTGCTCTGCATTCCATCAAGGTATACACATAATGTCATGGGATGTCACTGTGCATGACATTAACATATATATAATGTCATGTATATATCACTCTGTATGACATCAAGGTATATGTAATTGCATGTGGTGTGTGATATCACTATATGACATCAAGGTATATAATGTCGTGTGCGATATCACTATATGACATTATGGTATATATAATGTCATGTGGTGTGTGATATCACTTTATGACATCAAGGTATATAATGTCGTGTGCGATATCACTATATGACATTAAGGTATATATAATGTCATGTGGTGTGTGATATCACTTTATGACATCAAGGTATATATAATTCATGTGGTGTGTGATATCACTATATGACATTAAGATATATATGTCATGTGGGTGATATCACTATGAGACTTCAAGGTATATATAATGTCATATGAGGGATATCACTATGACATTAATTTATATATAATGTCATGTGTGCGATATCACGCTGTATGACATCAAGGTATATGTAATGTCATGTGTGATGTCATAATCTGTCCATATGACATCAAGGTATCCAGTGATCTTTGAAATCAGTCTTTAGGACATCACAGTCCATATGACATTGTCCATACCTTGATGTCATAATCTGTATGACATCACAAGCCATATGACAGAGCTATGTATAATGTCACATGATGGCATAGTCTATATTTCAACCGGTATGATATCCAACCAGTTTCGACCTCATCTAAATTTTATTATTTTTGTGAAGATAGTAAAATTGGTCAACTATTTGATGACAGTGCACAAATTAAAATCACTACAAGAAACAAGATGTACTACAGCACATATTATTTTTTTTACTAAAGAAAATCTGCATTACAAGTATTTGTTCTAGAAAGTAAACATAATGCTGAAATATTGCCGGTATGGCATTAAATTCAACATACACCCAATACTGTCTGGTGTTCTGTGCTGCAAGAACTTTTTGAATAAACACAAAGGCGAAGTTTTCAAACAATGCCACAGCAGATATTGAGGTTTTTAATTCGATGTTTGATATTATGGGAAATCTGTAAAAAAGATGATGTTCAAATACAGACATTAGTTACAGTATTATTAAATGTGTAATATTCAGTTGCAAGTCTTTTTTGTCAGCACTAAATTTACAGAGCAATTAGGTTTATTCGGGGCCCGGGTGGCCCAGTTGTCTAAGGCGCTGCGATTCGCTGTGCTGAGTCGCTGTTGTTTAATGCTCTGTGCTCAGACTCTTAGGTCCAATTAGTACGCAATTCTTTTTTGTGTTATTGTGTAAAACATTAATTATGGATTTAACATTTCAGCAAATCTAATTCTGTAAAATATTTTGTGGTTCTGCCGAGAGTGAGAATTCCACTGGGATGAGAAAGAGGCTGTGATCACATGCAGGTCATGTGATAATGATCACATGACTATTGTCAACAATCTATAAATGTCTGATGGTAATATTTTAATGATATTTAGATAAGTCATAGACATGTGAAAGTGAATAATATTTACATAATTATGTTTTCATTTTGCATGAGAAGCTTAATAGGAAAAAATACAATTTGTATACCTATGAGAGGTATTTGATCAATTTTTTTGTAATGCTGAATTTGAAATAGGTAGCACCCTTAATGTTGATTCAAAATGAGTTGAGAGAAACAATTGATTAAATCACAAGAATAAAGTTTTTGAGTAACCTGAGTAAGACTAGCTAGTCTCAGCTGTGACCTGCCTGAAAGTGTGTCGTTATGACACAGTGGCATAGTTTGGTGCTCACACCATCACCCACTTGTTCTTCTAGTCCAAAGTACTTCCTGGCTTCTTTCAAGGGCACAGGCAGCAGAGATGCATATGTTATTCAGGCCAGTAGGCTGTGCAGAGTTGCATCCATTAGGTGGCCAGGAACCTGTGATCATGGGTTTGAATCCCGGTTCACACTGATGATGTTTCTCAGTTTGTCAGCGGGGTCACAGGTGGCCCAGTCGTCTAAGGCGCCGCGATTCACTGTGCAGGGTTGCATCCCTTGGGCACGCCAGAAACCTATGATTCTGGGTTCAATCGCAGTTCACCCTGATTATGTTTCTAGGTTTGTCAACACCATACCCGTGCTTGTGGGTTTTCACCGAAGTGGTTAACTTCGTGCTTTCTTCCCACATTAAGCTGGCACGCCGTGATATAACTGGAATACTGTTAAAAGCGGCGTTTAACCTAACTCACTCACTCACTCAGTTTGTCAGCACCATATTTGAAGCAGGATCAATTGATGCTGTTGTGGAAAGACGACATGGAGCCTGGTGACACCTTGTAATGAACCCATCCTCATGTTAGTCGGGTCCGGAGACGGGCATCACACAGTGGGCGTCTATTCTGCCCCAACTCCCACAGGGGTGATAACTAGATATCTCAGCACTATGACTGTCGAGGTATATGTTAAACATGGGAATAACAATGGTCTTTGTACTAAGATCCCATTGTGGTACATGCGAGGAATTTCTCTAAATAGCGTGGTGCTGACTATTTCAAAAATAGTGTTTATGTTTTGAAGAGTTTTGTGTAGACTTTGTTGTAAGGTAGATTTCCATGATTGTCTTGTTACTGAACTTATACATGTATTAACCCAGGGTCTCAACTCTTCAATCAGGTATTTTACTGACTTGTTTCAGGATATCTTATGAGAGTCGATAGTGAAATGTGCTCTAACAAATGTCTTGTGTCATCGAGTGGCGTTCTTGGTTGGGCGCATTAGTTTGCTGTTGGCAATGTAGGTTGCCCTGTGTGCTATATAGTGTAAACTAAGCTATCTGTGCAGTGATATGGGCCATATTGCAGCCTGTTCCTGACTGCATGTAGACAGTTCAGCAGTTTACCCTATATTGGATGACAAATAGTCTATACAGTTATCATTACACTTCAGACTATAGTACAGAGTCTACACCCGACTACATGCTGTATACCATAAAGGTAACATAGCAGAGATTACAGTCGACACGATAGATTCTGTATGCCGCAGACTTCAAAATAATGCCTGACTGCTATATATAGGAGATTCTAGACTGGAATATTGGCTGCCATACAGTGTGTATGGCAGTTATAGCCTACACTATCGGTATTTAAATAAGCTGCCACTTGCCACATATAGGCTGTCATTCGTGACCAACTCGTGTTATTCCGGGACAAGCCGAATAGCAACTCGT